CCTGTGCTCAGTGTTCCTGCAGCAGAGGTCTGGCACAGGGACATGCTTTGCTCCCTTCTCACCAATGCCAATCTCACCTCCTTCTCTGCTTTTCTTCTCCCCAGAGGCAGGAGTGGGGGAATGATTGTGGATCCTCTCCGGTCTGGCTTCCCACAGCCCAACATTGACCCATCATCGGGCATCCCAGGCCGGCTTCCCCCGGGAGCAGTTCCACCAGGCGCCAGATTCGACCCCTTTGGTCCATTAGGAGCTGGTAGATCCGGGTGGGTATTTGGCTGTGCGTGGTGTCCCCAGGCTGCTCTCGGGGCTGCCCCTGGATTCCCTGCCTCATCCCTGTTGCTGTGGGATTGAACTCTCTTCTGGTTTGACTCTGCTCTGAATTTCTTTTCAGGCCAGATCCCGACCACCTTCCCCCCCCAGGCTATGATGACATGTTCATGTGAGGAGCCAGAACAGTCTCCTGGGAAGCAGAGGCACTTTCCCCGTTTCACTCCCCATTCGATGGACTTTGATCTCTTCAGCAGCATTTTTCTCCCCACTCGGGGCCACCTTCCTGTGTCAGACCAGCTATAAAGGTTTCCCTGTGTGCAGAATGGAAGCGCAGGCAGTAGGTCTGTTTCTTTTTGTGCTCCTCTGAGGGTGCCTGGCCGTTTGCACCCAGCTGAAGTGGTCCTGCCCTGTGCAAGGTGGCAGTGTGGGCTGTGTCCTGGTGTTCTGGGAACGGCTCGGGGGGTGGAGGGATTTTTCCTCCTGTTCTCCCCCAGGGTGGCACAGCTTTCGCTGCTGGTTACGCAAGCGGTCGGTGCTGAGGAGGGAACTGGCTTCTTGCTGCTTCTGTGCTGGGGAGCTGCAGCAGCCTGGCTGAGGTGGCAGCTGGATGGGGCTCCCCATGCAGAGATGGTTTCTCTCTTGCTCTTTATCCAAGTGAGGAGTTGATCCATCCCGCAGGGTCTCCATGGGCAGACCCCTGGCAGCGGCTGAGATCAGCTTCCACACGGCTGTGCCCACTGGCTTTAAAGAGCATGACCAGCCAAGGCTTTAACATGCGTGAGAAGAGGCACAGAGTGAATTCCTGGCCCCACCTTGCCCCCTCTCTCTGTTTTTCATTCCTGGGGGGCACATGAAGCCCTGCGGGCAGTGTGATCCCCACTGGGCATCACACGGGGCTGGGGCAGGAGGGAGGGTGCTCGGTACCCTCATGACCTGCCAGGCCCAGTGCTAGCTCTCCAGGCACAGCAGAGCCGAGTCCAGCATGGAGCTGGGGTCCTCTTGGGGATGCTCACAGGGGGCTGGCTCGGCTGTGGGATTTCCTCTGCAGAAGGGATTTATAGGACCCGTTTCTCTGCTGTCGGTCCCGTTATGCGAGGCTGGTGCAGCTCTGCCTGCCTGAACCCTGCCAGGCAGCTCGGGGAGAACGGGTGAGATCCGTGTGGCTCAGGCTCCTGAGCTCTTTCTGGAATCCTCCTCCCTTCCCCGCAGCTTCCCATAGAGCAGTTAATTTGGGGGTTACAGTTCATCTGCCCTGTCAAGGGTTCATACTATTTTTTTCCTTCTTATGGTTTGATTTCTTGGAATGATGTTCATGAGATTGAAATAAAACCCTGACAACAGTGTTGTGTTGGTGCTTGCTGAGGTGCCCCCCAGCCACAGCCCCCTTCTCCCCACCATGAGACAGGAA